GGGGACCGCGGCCCCTGCGAGGCGAAGAACGGCGCTCGCGGCCGTTAGGAAGGCGGAGAGCGGGCGCTGGGGACGTTTGCGACCGGGGGTGGCTGCCTCGAGGAGGGGCCTCCCGCTGCCCTCCGCCCGCGTTCGCCCGCTCCCTGGGCGCGGCGGCGAAGGCGGCTGACGCTCCCTCTCCTGCTCCCTCCTCAGCGCAGGCCTGGGGCGCTCGCAGGGCCACCAACGTGTTGCAGAAGCGACATGAACCTTAAATCCTAAATCCTGTCAGCATGTCGTGAGGTTAAAAGATAGATTTTTTTTTTCCAGCTAGTGGCTTGAGAAGCCTGATTCAAAGGCCATCCGCTGTTACCTGTCTTGTCGTCAGTTTAACACCAAAGTTGAGGAGAAAAAGAGCCTGGGGACCCTAGAAAATCTTGATATTTTAAAACATCCTGCTACTCTAGTGGGCCGAAAAAATAAAAACTGTTCATTCGCTCCGATAGAAGAAAAATTCTGAAAGGTTTCACAGGAATTAGAGAAGCCTTTTTCTTGATAAAGCCAAGCAATTTCATCAAGCAACAAAGCTAATGGAGATACTGCTCCGCACTACTTGCAGTTAGTGACAGGTTGAACAACATGAAATAATGACATGGAAAAAAAAAAGCTACATTTTAAATGGTCAAGGAAAATAATGGAAGATAAAACTGAGGATTTAAATTTGGGTCGTTTAAATTTTTAATGAAAACATTTTCTTGATGATTATTGCTGAGCAGAAAAATGTGAGCAGCTTTCAGGCAGCACCAGCTAACCAGTACACAGCATTACATAAGTCTGCGTTTTTTCCTACCTGTCATCTTTCTGCAAAAAGATTACAGTTGAAAACAAGACGATTTAATATGTGTCAGATACAACCCTACCAAATGGTTGGCCATTTCGGTTAGTTTCCTCCACGCTTTGCAGACTGAGTGAATTCCAGTAGAAGAGAAGAAACACCAGGCTGAAATATCTCTATTAATACTGACCTCAAGTTAGAGGCTGCATCTAACACCCTGAACATTTTAGCATTTATCTTCAGACATTTAAATGCTGTCTAGGATTCAGTATGTGGCTTTGTGCTAAGGCTCATCAGTAGTATTTCCGATGTAGGAAAAGCAGCAAATTTGCAGAAACATGCACTTGAGATTTACAGAGAAGACTACACCATGATTTCCACTAGTTGCCTTGGCAAATTGAAAAATAAATTACATATTGACCCACATTACGCTAACTGTTTTTTTCTCCACCGTTTTCCACTTGTAGAAACATGTGTTGTTATATGGACCTTTTAAACATGTCCATAGTTCATGTTGTTCCCTTTTGTTTCATTGAAATTCTCTTCATGGTTTCTAAAAGGTATGCATGGATATTCACAAGTTCAGCGTTTTATTGATAAAATTTATCAGCTTTCGTGCTTGCTTGTGATGTTTCTTAAGGTCTTGTTTCATTATACAAGAAAGATGGAGTGGTGTACTTGGGATAAAAAATGGGAATCAGATTATTTGATTTCAAATATCCACCCTATTCTGGAAGACACAGCATTAAAAAAAATCCTTCAATTATTCTTTTGAAACTCCTATGGGATGATCCTTTGCTACTTCAGTAGCAATGTTCCTACTGCAATAATTATCAGATGGATTATTTGAAAGAGTTACAATGGTATTTATGGGTGGAGTAGGAAACCTTCTGGTACAAATTACCTGCTTTTTATCAACTTGCTCACAAGCTGTATTAAGGCAATGGTCCTCAATACAAACCAATTAACCAATTTACCTACAGAAATGAAAAATAATTTTAAATTGGAACTTTTCATGCTTTATTTGCCTGGTTTTTATGGACACAATTTATGTCAATTTTGCCATGGGGAATATACAATTCTAGATAGGGCAATTAGCATTAGTCAAATATGTGGTATTTTGTTTTTTTTAAAAAAGTGCAGTGTAAGGCCTGAGTGTGTAATGTTCTTATATAGGGCCCTGGATCAGGTTTTAATTGAGAAGTCTAAGAAACAGTTACAGATTTGTGTAGAAAGTTAGAAAATTGTCATGAACTAAGTATGCTGCCTTTTCATTTAAAGGCAGAGGAAAAACGTCTCCTGCCCTTTCTTCCCCTGACATTCCTCAGGAAGCACCCCATCCCATGTTAGGGCCACTCTGCTTTCCAGAGGGCCATTAAAATCCAATGTTTTGTCATCTCACTGCAGCAGAAGCAGGTGGACAGGACTAGTACAGAGGTAACTAGTTAGCCCAATACAGCCGTGGAGCAATTAATCTCCCCTTAACTCAGATTATTTGAAATTAGCACCATTTTATGTCATCATACAATATCCAAGAAGTGCATTTTGGTTGAAGCATCCAGTATGTTGCTCTGTTGCTCTGCAGTATCTCCTCTACAGGTAGAAAGGCAGTCCCAGGGTGTTAAAGAGTTAAAATTCATTCATTATGCTGCGTTTGCCAGTTCACACACAAACTAAACCAGGCAATGGTATTTTCATATCTCTACGGGAAATAGAGTGGTACTACCTGAAGTCAGTTCTGAGGGACTCCATTAGCTTTATCAACTTTTTAAGAATTAGTACAGGCATATGTATATTTCTTTCATACCCTCCATAGTCTATACAAAAACATAGGAACATGTAACTCCGGATCTAAGGCAACTCCCTGGTTCGTTGCCTGGTAAAGGTCAGTAAAGATTTTGACTATGGCTCATTGTGCATTCAAGAGCTGCACTAGGTCTTGCCACTCTTTCAAGTTACAGCATGGACTGACACGCAGGCAAAAAACTGCTCCATGGCACTAAGCTGAACTCCCATCTACAAGCTCAAGAAATTCCATGGTGACAAAGATCCTTTTTTCTTCTCAGATTCTGACACACATTACACGTTTGGAGCTAGACATGCCAAAGGAGTCCATCTTTTGCCACCGCAGGCACTCAAGTAGCACTTCTTGCCTCAAGACAATGACTTTTGCTATACATTCGACCAAAATGAAGTTTAATGAGCTCTGATATAACTTAGACAAGACCATCTAATGGTCTTTGGGATTGACTGCAACATGCTCATTAGCCTGAAGAATTGAGAAAAATCACAAACGTAATCCCAAAAAGTGTCAATGGACAATTATAGGTCAATCACAGAAAGACTAAGAATTAGCTTTAGCAGATATAATTTTTAAGCACTTAGATTTTGTAGTGCTTTCTTAAACACCGAAAGCTGAACTACTGCCTCACTAGTTTCCAAGTATATCCTGCCTTTATCAAGGAAAAAGATTTACTACTTCCTCCTGCTATTTGCCAGTATCTCATCATAAAACACATTTTAGATGCACCTGAGTCCTATTAATCAGTGCACTACATACATGAAAGCTTTACAGCTTATTTGCAGCAAGGTGGACAGTAGGGCAAGATTTTTGTTTTTGCTCAGAAGCAGCCTAAGTAAATACACTCGTGTTACAAAAGAATAGAACTATATTTCATTTGGAAGAAAGTATAACCAGCTGCACTGCAGTTTCAAATCTTTCTGAAAATTTCATCTACGATTTGCACATACTGATACATTCTTTAACTGCTCACCCTTCAGTACAAAGCAGCACTGTTCCTCAGAACTCATGGTGAAAACATCAGTAAAAATAGCCTCAGAAGCTCAAGGTCTAATCAGAAGATGTTCAGATCTTGTCTCTCTTTTTAAAGGAAAATTCCTTAAATACTTGCAGCAATTAACACCCTCCATATTCCTATAACTCTCAATAACAGCATCGTATGACCATCTTCAAAGCCAATTTAAAATTAAAAAGCTGAGTGACTCAGTAAAATTCCCATTTAAGGTGCAAGTTTATCAAGTAACAACCCACAAATCCGAGATGCTCCCAGCTGACCTGTTCACTTCCTTGCTCCATTTCCTTGTTTACACCCACAAATCTGATCTACTTGTGTCTCAGCTCTACACACATACCTTCCTGGACTACTAGGTTAAATTTGTTTTTCTACAGTGGAAGGGAAACACTTCAAACACCCGCACCTGTATTTACCTGGAGAGATGTCTCAAACACAGCAGGTCTCCAACCCCCTACTGCTTAGGGATGAAAGCCCCTCCAGGTGTGGAAGTTTCTTCTTGCCCAAGAAGCAATGGCCCACTGAACAAGCAGCACTCTGGACAGGCTTCTCCAAACTGCCAGTCACAGAACACTCAGTAACAGCTAAAACCAGGACTACCCTCAAACTCTTCCTTCCCGAACCACCACTTACAGCTACTTTTCAAGTTACTATCTTTGAGTCAAAATCTACTCCACGCTAGAGTATCTTGAGTAATTTATGGTCACAGACTTCCAGGCAAGTAGGGCAAGGCTACAGTGTCAATGTTGCACTTTCCTTGCAAAAGGATTACTCCTCTACAGCAAATAAAAAGTCTGTTCTCCCTCTCTGAAATCTCATCATACTAAATTAGTATGTATCAGCCAAAAGCTTATTGTTTCATTAGTTGCCATCTAAGTTAGATTTCTAAAAAATAACCAGTTAAGGGAGTACCAGAAAAAAAAAAAAACTTGTCAGTTAAATATATCAATTAGCTGGTGGTTAATGAACAAATAGAAGCCTTTAAGGTCAGCAGACATTATGATCCTTTTCAACATGGCGATCTGTCAAAAGTCAATTAATGGATTGCGTTCAATGAATCATCTCAATCCATCACCAAGTTTCGTGTGTGTGTGTGTGTGTGTGTGTGAACATACCTATTTTTTCTAGGAATACTTAATTGAATTAAAACACATATAAAAGCTAGGGGTTTTTCTGAATAAGACCATTTATTTTTAGCAAACAGATGAGTCTTTACGAAGAACTGGAGGCGGCAACAGCTGCTCTCTTGGGCTTCGGTGTGGTCCCCTCACGGAATCCATTCCTGCAAGTAGAAATGAAGTTACTGCTCCAGCTTATATATTCTAAGTAGTAATGCTTTAGGTAAAATTAATTAGTTTTTGTCCAGCTCGTCTCAGTAACGCACTGAAATCACTCTGAGGTTCATATGTTCAGACATTTTTAATATGAAACATCATTGACAAGCTGTGTGGAATGAGCAGGTAAGTTTTTCCCTCTCCTGCTAGAGCAAATTCCATTTCTTCAAACAGGAAGATTTCAGCAACTGACTGAACACTTCAAGACTGAATCAAACACAGCAGGGCTACCAGAGGCACTCTGTACTTTATGGCCCTACTAAGCAACACAGTTAAAGGTAGTTTCATTTTTGATAGCACCAAAGTACAAGTTCTGGTCAAAAAATTTTTCAATACAGAAAATGCATAACACAACAACAATAAAAGTCAAGTTCAAGCTCACTTTTGGATACGGCATTTCTACTTCAGCAATGTTTGGTGGAAAGTAGCAGCCTGCAGTTCAGTTACCTTCTGGCTGCTCCTAGGCAAAGACTGTGACTGACCATAAAAAGCAGTTGAAATAATTGTGCCCTGGTGCCTGGACTTCAGACCCCCAATTCCACTTACTAAATTTAGGAAATTATCATTTCCTAGATTTTTAAGAAAAGATTTTTGGAATTACTTGATCTAATAGTTACAAAAATCTAATTTAGAACATGGAGACAATACAAAAATTCTTAATGAGTTTCTCAGAAACATTACAGTATCCCCACAGCACCTAAGTACAACTCAAAGCTTTGTAGGAAACTTTAGTCTGATTTTACAGCTAACAAGCTACTATTAAATCCCAAATAACGCAGCAACTACTGAAATATTTAAATTCCAAACTTTGTGTGCAGGGCAAGTGGAAGCCATCTCAAAGTTCATCTTACAAAGATCCACATAAGTGCTATCACTAAGAAATCCACCAATAAAGGCAGTTCTACATGAAACATCATGCATTTTGAAGCATGGTCATTTAAAAGCAAGAACCAATGTTTTGTACTATCTACCCTTATTAGAAACACTTGCTATGCATCCTATGCATGACAAAAGACAAGTATGACTAATGAGTAAGCTCTTTATCCCAGAAAGATCAGGCTGCCAGAAAACAAGGCATTCCTTATTTCAAAATATACTTTAAAAGTCCAAGATACATCACACTAAATATATTAAACTTAACATTGCATTTTACTTAAGTGATACACCTTACAACAAGGCATAACCCATGAAACATTTCCCACTACAGCAGCCTGCACTGAAACACCCTACCTGAATCGACGGTAGACCTTTTTCAGGTGCCTCATGCGACCCGTACCCGTGGTGTTGCGTCTCTTAGCCTTAGCACTCCAGTTATCTAGGAGAGATACATTACTGTTACTCATCTGCACGATTAATTCTTCCATACACGTGAACAGCACACCTACACAATCCACCAGAAACATAAAGGTAATTAGAACACGTTCTGTTAAGACAAGCCCGCTCCCGTGCAGCGCTGCCACACGGCTGCGGCGGGACGCACCGCGCAGGGGGTGCTAGGCCCGAGGCCCACGCGCGGCCGCTCACTCACACTTTCTCTTGCGCTTCGCGGGGTAGCCGCACTTGCCGCACGTGGACTTCTGCAGGTGGTAGGCCTTGGAGCCGCAGCGGCGGCACAGCGTGTGCGTCTTGTTGCGCCGCTTGCCGAACGACGAAGTGCCCTTCGTCTGAAA